AATTTGCATAACTTTTCATTTTAACATACATTTTCATAGTATAGAATCATAGAATAGTTAGGGTTGGAAAGGACCTTAAGATCATCCAGTTCCAACCCCCTGCCATGGGCAGGGACACCTCACACTAAACCATATCACCCAAGGCTCTGTCCAACCTGGCCTTGAACACTGCCAGGGATGGAGCATTCACAACCTCCCTGAGCAACCCATTCCAGTGCCTCACCACCCTAACAGGAAAGAATTTCCTCCTTATATCCAATCTAAACTTCCCCTGTTTAAGTTTTAACCCGTTACCCCTTGTCCTGTCACTGCAGTCCCTAATGAAGAGTCCCTCCCCAGCATCCCTATAGGCCCCCTTCAGATACTGGAAGGCTGCTATGAGGTCTCCACGCAGCCTTCTCTTCTCCAGGCTGAACAGCCCCAACTTTCTCAGCCTGTCTTCACACAGGAGGTGCTCCAGTCCCCTGATCATCCTCGTGGCCTCCTCTGGACTTGTTCCAACAGTTCCATGTCCTTTTTATGTTGAGGAAACCAGAACTGCACACAATGCTCCAGGTGAGGTCTCACAAGGGCGGGTGAGGTCTCACGAATGCAGCCTGGGGTGCAATGCACACAGGCAGCAGAAGGTGTTTGGGTTGCAAGTGTGTCTGAAGCACTGGCCTGGGCTCCAGAGTCCCACAGTCACTGGACCCCATGTGATGCAAGGGAGGACAAAGAGAAGAGTCCTGCTCTGTTTGCTGTCACTGACACCCAGGCTAACCACGTTATAGCCCTCCTTTTCTCCTCGATGCCTCCAGGAAAGCTGCTCCCGCTCATCACCCTACGAGCTGCTCCATGCTGCTGTAGGACAAGATGTTGCTCTGTGGTCCACTCTTGGAGACACAAGAAAGGACTCAGTGGACTCAAACCTGCAGGCTGGATGTGGCTCATTCTTCAAGAAGCTACAAAACTTCTGTTTCTTCCCCCCCACACATACACCTTGCTTTCTCATTTTGGGAACTTCAGGCCTGATTTCAGTCAGCCCGAACCTATGTATTCTACACAGAAAAGCCCTCAATTCTCTCTTTCCATCCTGATTCGTTTCCTCCTGTAATGTGGAAGTTTCTGTATCCTTGAAAAATCCACATCCCTGTTTCTGAGGAAGCAGGTCAGGGGGACGGGGCAGCAGTAGGCTAGTTTCAGTTTCAGTAGAAGGGTTATTTCCCTTGCTCCTAATCTCTCCTGCATATCACATTTCCTCTCTGTTTCATAAATGAACAAATTTACTGTAATCATTAGAGTTTTACTTCAAAATTAAAGGCAGGCTAATACAGAACTCTGCACGTATTAACTCTGACTTTGCTTTTGTGACATCAGATGTTTCTTAACCAAAACCATATTGTTTTGTGAAGTCTAGTGATTTTAGGCACCTTCAAAACAAGGGAGTTAACCTCCCGTTAACTGTTAGCCTTTCTTCATCATAAACAACCCAGCTCCAGATCAATGGTGGTGACATTTGCTTTCGCAAATGCAAGTGTTTGTTTCTCTCTCTCTGTAAACAGAGGTAATGTCTTCATGGCCTTTTCGGTTTAGTTGACATTGAGAAACACACAGTGTAAAGACACAGCCCAGAAAGCCCTGGCTGCAGGGCTGGTTCTTCTGGGAAGGTCCGGAGTCTCATGCTAAGGGTGGCTCTGAGGTTCAAGCAGAGCTCCATGGGTTGGTGTGCTTGAAATCCAGAAGCTTTCTTAGAAGTTCATTTGGAACCCCAGATCTGACATTTGGCCTCTGCATCATTTCAGCCATGCCCCAGGCAAGCCCAGGACTCAGGACCATACATTTGGTGGGGCAGATGCCCTCACCTCTGCCTGTATGAGATAAACTACGTTGAGAAGAAACAAGAGTGGCTGGAGCCAAGCACTGGAGAGAAAAAGGCCATCTGCTGCCCACAGAAGCTGTGGCTGCCCCATCCCTGGCAGTGTTCAAGGGCAGGTTGGACACAGGGGCTTGGAGCAAGCTGCTCTAGTGGAAGGTGTCCCTGCCTGTGGCAGGGGGTTGGAACTGGATAAGCTTTAAGGTCCCCTCCAACCCAAACCATTCTATAATTGCTCCATGGTACAAATGCTGTATTTGCTGGAGCTTCTTTTGTCCCAGTCAGGTCATGGGAAAGGGAAGACAAACACTGCAACGTGAAATGTGTCCTCACATGGGTTCTGTGAGGGAGCAAGAGGGTCGGAGTGGAAATACAGGAAGATGCCAGAGAAAGGTTCCTTCCCATTCCCTCAAAACCTATTGGGGAATAGGCTGCATGCATTTCATTGTTTTCCAGTCTAGAGGTTGCACCTGGGGTTGTTGATACCAATGCCACTTCTTCCCACTTTTCCCCTCTATCCCATGCTGCAGCTCGGAGCTGCTGTCCGAAGCAACCACTAGAGAAAGGATTTAACAGCCCAGGAGACCCAGCCATGGCATCTCTGTCTGTGCTTCAACCACAAGCTCCCACACTGGCCACAAGGCTAAAAATAAATGGGAGCTATTTAAATCGGAAAGCAAGATGTACTTTTCCTTCAGTCCTGCAGGTCTAAGCAGGAGCAGCTAAAAGAACAGAATGGTTTTGTTGTTTTCCTCAGCTTATTTTAATCCTCCCATGGATAAGTTATGAAATTGTGGTAGCACATTTATTGACTCCAAGCATTCATTCAGAAGCTGCAGACCACCGAATCCCACAATTTTACTCATGGAACAATCCCTCTCCCAACAGAAGCACCAGTTTGAGGCTCATAAATAACAACAGTAGGGAAAGAAGAAAAGCCTAAATAAGATGGGGAGAGAGGGTTCAATAACAAACACAGCTTGCTTTTCAAAACAGCCTTGCAAAAATGCTGTTTGTACCACAGGTCTCAGCTGGACAATACAAGGAATGTCAGGAATCTTATTTCTCGAGTCCATTCTTTGGGGAAAAGGCAGTTTTCAAGAAATACCCGATGATACGATCCTGAAAACAGTTCTATAAATCACAGCTAATACAGCCCCAAAACAGCTCTTTTGGAGCTCCAGCAACCATGGCAAGAGATGTGCACATATCTATTACTTCTGGTCTGTGTTTCTTTCAGGACGGTTTATTCCAAGACCTAAGTGCTTTGCACGTATCTTCTTAGAATCACAGAATCCCAGACTGGTTTGGGTTGGAAGGGACCTTAAAGCTCATCCAGTTCCAACCCCTGCCACAGGCAGGGACACCTTCCATTAGAGCAGCTTGCTCCAAGCCCCTGTGTCCAACCTGGCCTTGAGCACTGCCAGGGATGGGGCAGCCACAGCTTCTCTGGGCACCCTGTGCCAGCGCCTCAGCACCCTCACAGGGAAGAGCTTCTGCCTAAGATCTGATCTAAACCTACCCTCTTTCATTATCATATTTTTCAGTTTCGTGTTTTAATCACCTCCTCAGCACACAAAATAGCTGCTTTTCCTCACTGACTCCTCCCCATGCTCCTGTGGGGCAGCAGAGGCATAGTGGCAGCTTCACCAGCATGGCTGACAGCAAGCAGAGGACAGAAACTACAAGAACTAAGCCCAGTTTCCCCCATGGCATTGCCTAATTGGCAGTGTCAAGCAGCAGAGACGCAAAGGCATCTACTGCCCACCAGAACCCCCCAGGTCATGGGATCAGCTGTGTGTCTACGCTCACTGCATCAGCAAGGTATCAAAGGAGACATCCAGGGTGAATCTCCAGACCTGCTGGATGTAAAGCTCTGTTCATTGCGTGTCTGTGACACAGAGCAGAGGCGTGACACAGGAGCGTCCTGAGGATGGATGGGCTAGTTAACACATTGGCTGTCTCTGTGGAGCTGCTTGGAAGGAGGTAGCTTAAAGGATGGAGGCTTGATGGGCAGGCAGGGAGTCTGTGTGCTTCTTTGACACACTGCAGTAGCAGCCTTTTGGGTGGAAAAATGATGAAAGCTTTGGAAACAGAAGAATCATTCCAGGGAAGGTTGAGAGAAGATTTAAAGTAAATTGGGATGGTGTCTGCACCAGGATGCCAGCGCTGCCAGGCATCCCGAGGGGAGGCCACCCTTGGAGCCCATCTCCTTCCCGGAGGAGGTGATTTCCTGGCCATGAAGCTGAGGATTATTGAAGGTTACTGGTCTTACCACTTTCCCCAGACAAGGAAGATGAAATGGCACCAACAGAGCAACTGAACAAGGCTGGGAGTTGGGAGACATCCTTATCATGGATGGCCTGTGCAGGAGCAGCACCACAGCACAGCTCAGCCACCTTCCCCTCCTCAATGCCTGTCTGTAACCCTGAACAGGGCAGGGAGCAGAGGCTGATGATGGCAGTAGACAGATTCCCATTCCCAGAAAGTCAGGGCTTCACAGGAAAAAACACGTTCATAGAATCATAGCATGGTTTGGGTTGGAAGGGACCTCAAAGCTCATCCAGTTCCAACCCCCTGCCACAGGCAGGGACACCTTCCACTAGAGCAGCTTGCTCCAAGCCCCTGTGTCCAACCTGCCCTTGAACACTGCCAGGGATGGGGCAGCCACAGCTTCTCTGGGAACCCTGTGCCAGTGCCTCAGCACCCTCACAGGAGAGAATTTCTCCCTAATATCCAATGTTCTCCAGGTACATCTCATGTCTACCAAATGCCACAGACCTGTTCCCTTGCTCCACCATTAGCTCTGTATGGACAGCCTCCACATCGACCTTGGTGGTACCCAAGTTCATCCTCCCTCCCTCCAGCCCCAGCTGCAGGGCACTGGGGTGTCTCAGCTGGTGCTGCCCCATATCCACAGTCACTTTGGCCCTGCTACCCGCAGGGTCAGTGGCTGAATTCCCCTCATTTGAGTGCTGCCCTAAGTGATTAACCACACAAACACCACCCCACAGCAGACCAGCTGGACGGGTGACTTGAAAGCAGCTTTGCTCATGACACGCTTGGATTCTGCCTGGCGAGAGCGAAGGGTGAAGCTAAAAACATCATCCACCAGTGAGCACATTTTTGCATTTCAAAGAAAAAACAATTTTACTTGCTAATAAATGATTTGTTTATTTACCCTTTCCTCCCAGAGAATGGCTTCATGGCTGCAAGTCCAGATAACTTATGCTTCTATTTAACCCACGTGTGACTTCGAGGTCATCCATTCAGGGAAGTGTAGCATTTCTTACCATGGTATGGAACAAAAATAGGGCTGGACTCTTGCCAGATGGGAGGTTTGTATCTCCCCATGCAGAAGACACCCAAGTGGCAGTCTGGCTGGTGGCCATGCGTAGGGGAGAGGTCAGGAGCCATCCATCAGGTTGGGTCCTTTCTGGGTGAGCAGAGCCGAGTCAGTAAGTAGTTAAGTCTCCTGCTCCATGCCTGGAATTGGAAAAGCCATTGGGAGTGGTGTTATTTTGCTGTGCAGTATAGCACAGAGTGTCAGCTGCTTTGTTTTGTTTGCTAATGTAGCCCAACAAGTGACTGGTGGGTGAATTTAATCCGCTGGAGAACACACAGTTCCTGGATAGGTTTTGAGATATGCCCAATAGTGAAGCCATTTCCCTGGACACCTACAAGGGCTGGGGTTGCGGGTTGTTTGCTTCCCCTTTGCTTTGTTTTTAACAGAGAGCAGACCTCATTTATTGTAACAGGAAAACCAAGCGCTCTATTAAAGTCATGATTACGCTGCTGCCAAGTATTTGGGATGCTGGAGTTAGGATTTTTCCTTCACTAAGAAAAATCTCCCTGATCCCCTTCACAGGTAAATCTCTACACACCTTTCAAAGGTCAGTTTTTCTTCGCGTTCCCCTTGTGTCAGTATCATTTGTTTCATACTGGTAAGTTTCAGATGAAAACAAGAATATCTCAGTGATTCAGAACTGAAGCACCCCAGTTCAGGTTTGCAATAGAAAACAGCTTTCCAATGAGACATTTGTGTGTCTTCAGGAGCTCCAACCATTGCCCAAAGAGAAGACTGCAGTGCTACAGATGCTGTCTAATTAATCCTCCCTGCACCTTTGGTGTATAGAGGGTATTAACCTCAATTTACAGATCAGAAATAGGAGGCAGGAGGGAGATGATTGACAGCTGTAACGAGCACATTGCTTCATTCAGCCAAGGATTACAGCTCATGGTTCCCAATTCCCTCATTAGTAAGCTATGCAGCTCTTCCAATGGACCAGAAATGAATATTGGGGAATAAAGCAAAATATTTGCCTTTAGATGTTTGTGTTCCTGCAAAATATCTTGCTACTGAAGGTGATTACAAGCCCTGCTTCTGCCACTGTCACCTCTCCTGGCTTTCTTAATGACAAATTCATCTTGAGGGAGGAAATATCTGCTGTCACACCACGTCATAGGAGGAAGCATTACAGAAATGTAACTATTCAGCAGTCTTCAGGGGATCTGGCTGTGCCGGGGGCTGTTCTTCACATGCTGATTACGGCTCCCATGCTGCTTTATTTGCTGAGTGTTTAAGTCCTGGTGCCAATGGAAACCCAGTTTCATCAACAGTGTTTTCTGGCAAGAGAACATAAAATTGATTAAAAATTAATTCAAATCACCTTAGTAAAATCTTAGAACTTTGTATAACTCCAACAAGTGAAAACCAACACTGCTCTGTAGATGACACAGCTTTTTTACATACATTGGGGCTGCTCAGCCTGGAGAAGAGAAGGCTGCGTGAAGACGTCAGAGAAGCTTCCAGTAGCTGACAGGGGCCTGCAAGGATGCTAGAGACGGACTCTTCATCAGGGACTGTAGTGATAGGACAAGGGGTAATGGGTTAAAACTTAAACAGGGGAAGTTTAGACTGGATATAAGGAGGAAATTCTTTCCTGTGAGGGTGGTGAGGCACTGGAATGGGCTGCCCAGGGAGGTTGTGAAAGCTCCATCCCTGGCGGTGTTCAAAGCCAGGTTGGACAGAGCCTTGGGTGACACGGTTTAGTGTGAAGTGTCCCTGCCCATAGCAGGGGGTTGGAACTGGATGATCTTAAGGTAATTTCCAACCCTAACCATTCTATGGGTATATGCAAGCAGCAGGCCTTAGTGTAGGAAAAATCTGTAGGAGAAATCCCAGTGACTCCAAGGCATTGCCCCGTGACAGTTGATTTCACTACTGCATCTCTTCAACAGTACAGAAGAACAGATCACAGTGCCACGGAGATGCTTGTGGATTTATGGCCTCATCCTACCTACTCAAACCCCTTCTATACCTCCTGTCTATGGACTTTAAATCTTAAACTTCTGTAGGCACTTTGGGTTTAACAGAGAGGTTTTTCCAGAATAAAGTTGTTTGGGTTTCCCCCCACACTGGAAAAGAAAGGGTTTTCTATCAAAATCTGTGAGATTCATAATTGTGCTGCAAAAGGTATTCCCATTTTCCTGAAACGGAAGGGTTGATGCCACTCTGACTGGAACACCGCAACTTTCCCTTTTGCTTGCAATACAATGATATAATTTCTGAGAAGGGAAAAACACTTTCATCAGTGAAAAAAAAAAAGACAACAGTTTATTTTTGGTTTTGAGATTTTCTTCCCATTTGGAAACTGTTTTTTTTCCCTGTCATTCCAGAATGTGTTTTCTCTGATTCCAGATTTTTCCATAAATAACAAGTCTGATTCCTGCCCTGCTCTGTTGCATCCTTTCTGCAGGGTCCTCCCAGGAATGGCATGCCTCAAGGATTAAAGAGATGTAATGTTTGTAGAGAGATAAAGATTAAGTTCACTCAGTTCTTAGACCTCATGCCGGGTCCGAGCACGAGGCTGGATTTCACTTTGTAGGAGTTATCACAACTGAAACTGCTCTTCAGTGGAAACCACTATGCAACCATCCATTTGCAGTTGTAAAAGTCAATATATTTAAGCCTGCAGTGCATAACAATGACCCCTATGGATCCTCCAACGTTTTTCTTGGATCTCTATAAGCCTGGTTTTAATATATTACTCATCTAAATTGTTCCTGGGACTTGATTATTTGCTGGAGTTAAATATCCAATCTGAAAAGATTTTTAAACATGTGGATGCTGAATTCCCCACTGCACTAAGCTTCATTTAGCTCGACTAAAACTGCCATGCCATAAAAAAATGCTTAAAAACATCTCAAACGAACTGCTCTCCTGGTTGGTGGAAGCTCCCCAGGCAGGATTCCTTAGTGATGATAATCTCTGGTTTTGGCTGGCTCTGTTTAGTTCCCTGGAAGAATAAAATCCAGTTTTCACTGAGCTGGATATTGAGGTGAAAACAGAGGGCACAGCCGTCCCCTCTCCCCTGCAGCGTCCTTCCCCGTAAGTACATGGATACTGGATGTTCCCCAAGGAAAAAAATGTGGCAAGCCAAGCGATCTACAAAACAATATTGATTTATGCTCTGCCTCTGAAAAGGGGATGAAATCACCCTTGTTTGCATGCGCAAGGGCTCGCTGCATTCCTTCCAGTCACCGGGGCTGTGGAGAGCCCTCCTTGGTATTCAAAGGCAAATCCCTGCAGATCCATCCCAGCACCGGGCAAGTCCCTTTGTAACCATCAAGTGATGGGGCAAAGCCTGCTGAATTCAAAGCAGATCAAAGCCTGTTCAGCCTTTGCCTGGTTTGCTTTCCAAGCGCCAGCTCCTTTTCAGGATGCTGGTGTAAATTAGGGGCCAGTCTGTTGAAGGAGATGGAGTTACAGGAGAAAAGAACTGGCTCAAAAACCAGAGAAGCCAAAAACCACTGCACAGAGTTCAGCAGGCGAGTTTCCTTCCCTATTTCTTCCACAAAGAAGGAGAACTGGGTCATCTTGCAAATAACTGCACAGAGCCCAGATTTTCCCCCCTCCTCTCCTTTTCTATATGGAAGAGCAATTGGGCAATCATGTGAAGAAATGCATAAAGCTCAGCACAAGGTGCAGGGATTTTTTCCTCCTCCTCCTTGGAATAATCTTCCCTTTCGCTCTACAGCAATGAATACTAACAGGGGGGATGTTTTCAGAGTGTTAGGATGGTGTTCAAAGGAAGCACCACACATTTATTCCTAAACCATCAGGTTTGTTTGCCTTTGTGACCCTGAAGTTTGGGGGGAAACACCCCGATTTATGCACCTTTGATTGATACCTGTGGCAATTCAGTGTCTTTATCTCAGCCATGCAGTCAGATTTCTGCCGGTTTGGCCACAGAGCCTCCCTCCAGCTTCAACAACTTGATATCCAGAATGAATGAATCTGATCTGTGCATGCTTTTACAACCCCCTTGTCTTATTCCCCCCCAGGGAAAAATATCATCTGCCCTATTGTTGACTGCTGGGATTTACCCCCACAGTATCTCTCCCATCAACATGTGATTAATCACCCTAATCCAGCAGGCACCTCTCAGGAACCCAAGACCTTTTACAAGCCTTAATTAAGCCTTGCAACATCCCCGTAAAATAGGTTGAAGCTGGGGTTAAATGATTTGCCCGGGGTGACAGAGCAAATCAGAAGCAGGGATAGAAATGAGAAGGAAAGCTGCTGCTTCTGAACTACATGCATGGCTCCCAGGATTGATGCAGGATAGCAAAGCCTTTCTATTTCTCTTTGGAGATGGGGTCCTACAGCCACCAAAGCCATGCAGCCACGCAGGCAGGCTTCCCCAGCTCTCACCCACTGCCTCCATCCCTTCAGCCCAGGCATCCCCTGCAAGCCCAGCCTCTCCCCTTGCCCACGGTCCACGTTCACAGCTCCCTAACCGACTACTTGTACAAGCTTTAAGTGCCTGTAAACTGGCAGCTGAACCCTGCCCCGGAGCTGACCATTCTTCATGAGCCACCTCTCCTCATTTGACACCCAAATTGGAGTCAGACCCTCGACACTTGGCACATCATCAATTGCAGAGAAATCAGAGAATCAGAGCCAGATGTGAGGATGATGGGGAATGGGAATCTCCCTCATGGCCTCTGTAATCACAGCAAGGATGGTGGATCCAGGGAAGCCTTAAGGGAGGCAAAATTAGCAAAGGGGGGGAATGGTTTGGGAGCTCCTGACACCTTGCCAGGGGGCTTTTGTGGGATCACTTCTTTTCTAGACACACGTATTAAGGAGTCTCATGCAGGTGGCGGCGAGGGCTGACCATGTGCTTGCTTCTTTCTCTCCATCAAGTTGGGAAACACAGTTGTGGGTTTCTGAGGTTGGTTTTCTTTTTTTTCTTCCCAGGAAAAAATCTTTGCTTTGTTTTCCCTTAATTTGCCCCAGATTTTCATAGCAGACTGTATCATTAAACAAACAAACCAGCAACCCAAAATCAATGTTCTCTCAGCTGGCTTAGTGGTTTCCTCAATGACCCAGCAGCAAAAGCAGACTGGCAGGGGAAGGAAGATCTCTCCCTGTGGTACCCACCAAAGTGGGATCTGTTGGGAAAGACAAATACCTACAGCTCCAGGAAAATGTCAGTTTTCCTTAAAGAAGAGGGTTCCTCTATCCTTCCCTCCACTGCTTGCGCAGCTTCTTCAATGTATTCCTAAAGGTCATCCAAGGAAACATTATTCCTAGAAGACTCCTCCTCCCCCAGCACTTTACATCTCCTCTCACAAACTTTACACAACTTGGCATAACATTGAATAAATCAAATATAACCAATTCTATGAGGAAATGATGGTCTGAGGCCCTCACACATGCTCTGCCTGTGAGAAGGAGGGAGAGCATCAGCCCTTTACAGCACTGCTGAAAGCTTTAATGAAACATGAGAATAAGCAAAGCCACCAGATCCCCACTACTGTTTGGCATCTGCCTTATCTATTTTCTTGGGGGCCAGCTCATGTCTTTGGCATATATCTAGCCTGAGGGACATCCTGGCAAAGGGATTAACTATTCAAACAGAAAGCATTATCCACTGATGTGATCCCCTGAACGCACAGGACCTCTCCAACCCGGTGGTCTTGTCTACCATGACTCCCTGGAGACACCCTCTGCAGCACAGCATCTGATGGGGACAGAAAGCTGGTATAGCTGGTGGCCCCATGCAGCATCCCTGGGGATGCTCTCGCGTGCCGGTCCATGTGGGCTACTCCCAGGAACAGCTTGTCTCCAGGTTTGCTTTGGTGTACACATCTGGGCAAGTGGCATACCGCAGCGCTCAGGCATCTCTGCCTCGAGAGGTCCCCTGGGAGCTGCATCAAAAGTACTCCTCTTCCTTCTTCACTTCTGCTCTGCAGTTGTATCATCCACCCTGTCACACACATGCTGTGCACAACCAGCGACTCCGACCATCCCTGTCCGATGCACTCGGTCTGGAAGTAGTTAATACACAAGGTGCCAGGAAATGGTGCTAAAAATAAGCTGCATGGCTCCTCCATACAACATGCCATGCCTTACACGTGGCTTTTTTAGTGTGGCTCTTCAGAGCAGCCCTTTACAGAACATGCTTCTGGGGTTGTTTTTCCTACACCTATTTCGACATCCCCAGCAGAGCCACAGGCAACGGGTGGGTTGCTCCCCCATTACATCCTCTTGCGAGGCCAGTGCTCCCAGCTCCCTCAGTCCTTCTGGCAAGTTTTGCAACATTTGGCTATTTTGAAACCTTAAGATAAATTTCCAGGGCTTGTGTTTACAGCAAAAAGGCTTGAAAACACGGATCCTAAAGCCCAGAAGACAAACAGACACAACTCCTCATTTCACTGTTATTCTAATCCCAACAATTTCAGTGAAGTATTTGGGTTCTCGATAGGATTGGGCTTTTTTCCCTGCCTTTCAGAAACACTTCCAGAAATACAAGTAGTCTCACCAGCTGGATGGGAATATGGGGAATCAGGAAGTGCACAGAAAATGCTAATTAAAATGAGCTGAAAGCTCAGCATTTTCCCTGTCACCCTCCCCTGTCTGGATTGGCAGCTCCGAACTCGTCTCTCCGTGATGCAAGGGGAGATGAGCGAGCATCCTGTTTCAAACCCCCAAAGCTGCAGGTCCCTCTTGCATAGACCCCATTGCTGGGGTATGGCCTCAGGCTGCAAGAAGCCTTGCACCACCCATTTCCTTAAGTCAGCCATGGTACTGCTGCTGTTATGAGCCGAGTAAAATAGCACTTGTTCCACAGAAAACAGCCAGGAAACAGTTAATCCCAATTAGTTCAAACCAGCAGATATCATTCTTTATATTTTGGCAGTTCTTGTTTTGAAGGAAAAAATATGTTTGTGTTCTTGGAGTCGGTCTGAACAATAAAATCGAATGCCAGTTTTCTGGTCTAAATTAGGTGAAAGACCAGACTTTTTATCGTATGTGTGTGTGTCTGTGTGTGTGCTGTTCTGGTGCATGTTTATTTTATCCCTCTCTATATTTACCATCAAAATCACAGGCTGCCCCAGAGCATGCCGCAGCGTGGCAGGGAAACACGACAGCCCACTTCATTTGCTGAGGTTGGAAATGGAACCTGGTACCAGGAAAACGTGAGCTGCTATCAACAGCAAAAGGAGATTAATTGCCAGAAGATAAACATTATAAAGTCAGTCCTTGTCAGCATATCAAGTCAAAGCCTTTCCAGGGTGTGTGAATAAGGGTTTTAAACTTCTGCACTGGTTGAGGTGTTTTCATGTCTGATTTTAGTGTTTAACACTGAAAAATATCAGAACTCTGGGCTTCAAGGAGGCTAAAATCAAAAGGATTAACGAGTGGTAAAATGCCATGGTCAAAACAACCCAAGGCTGGCACATCTTGTCCATTGTGAGCCCACAGTCAAGGTGCAGGCAACCACTGCCCCATCAAATGGGAAGGAAAAGTGCTAAATAAGCACATTTTCAGCTCTGCTCCACACGCTGTTCCCATCTGCTGAGATCAGCTATAGGAGCCCAAGCAGCGGACAGTGATGCCGTGTCACCACTTCTCACCGGCCGTGTCACAGGGCACACAGAACCCAACCTGTGTGATCCACCCGGGAAGGCTCCAGTTCCCGTGTGTTTCTTTCCATGCAAATGAGCTTTTCATAATGTTGTTTTCAGCCCTCATTGTCTTCAGATGTCACTAATTTTCAGGACAGGCAAGAGGATGCCAGACTCGCAGTCAGCACAGACGCCGGCACGCAACGGAGAAACTATTCCTGCAGTGGAGCACAAGATACAACACAACCCAGCCAAAATGTGCCTGGTTCGTCAGCCAGCAGCAGCTCAGCTCGCAGCACGACCCTCCCCATCCAAAATCCCTCCAAACCCTGTCCTCTAGTCACCAGTGGAGGTGCACAGCTATGGGGAGAGCTCGCTGACATCTGGTTTCTGCGCACTGAACTAGGAGAGCGCCTTTGACATTAAATCTCTGACACCCTGTTTACCTCCTTCTTATTGTGTTTGCAACACTAGAGGGAGACAGGTTTCAAATCGGGTTTTGCAATGAGAAACCAAGATTTATCAATGATGGAAAGCACCCAGATTTGCTTGCAGAGCCCAATGCATCCAGGAGAAAGTAGGTGCCACCTCTGAGCACGGCCAGCTGCAGTCTGAGCAGCCCACTTCCAAACAGGGATTCAAGAGTATTTGGGGCATTCGACTCAAGAAATGCACATAAAAAATAAAATTTGAGCACAGGCTTAAATTTAAGCCCATACTGTAGAGCCTTCTGGCACAAGGGCTCGACCAAGGATTAAGAGCCACACACCGTATTACTCTTAATTGAGCTACTGTCTTCCCATATGCTTTCCCCTGGGGAGATCAGTGGCTGGCTTATGAGTTCAAGCAACAACATCAGTTAAAAGACTATTTGAACAATTGCAGTTGGCAGTTCTCTGAATAATATGAATGCTACAGAGTGTCGGAAAATGTCGTATCATCAATTTTCTGGTTTCCTGCACTCATTGCTTTTGATCTCCACTAAAAGATTTATGGAATGGCTTTCATTTTTACATTAACCTACTCCAAATTACACCAATTGAGAGCTGGGTTGGGTTTTTTTTCCTTAAACATCCAAAGAGAGGTTTTTAAAGCTGAGCCTTTTCATTCCTTCCAGTTTTGATTGTTTGAAGCGAAGGGCTGTTTTGGCAGGTTTATGGGATGGCGTCTGTTTTGCTGACAGACATGCCTGATAGATTGCTGTTTCATGTTTTAGTTTTGGAGCCGTTTGCTGCGTTATCTGCATTTGAAAAACAATTTACTTTGACTTAAAAGTTAAATCAAATATATGGAAATAGCAGCCTTGCTTGCAATCAGATCTTATATCTGTCCTGTTAAGCATCTTTGCCTCATTGTGGGTGAAATGCAGTGATGAAGAAAGTGATTCCTTCCCCTCCAGCACTGCCCACATTCAGTCATTATTGCTCATAGGCAAGGACTAATTCCTCCCCATGAGCCCCACAATGCCTTGAAATGTGAATAAGGGCACTTCTTGCACTGCCTGGCTAACCTAAAGAGGCTATGGATGAGTGTGAAATTAAAACATTCCTTAAGAAACAGGGTTACAGCAGCCAGGACATTTGATGTAGATGATCTCGCGGAACAGTGAGTTTTAGAGTGACCACAGTGTACATGAAGGATTATTTCCTTTTATTTGCACTGGGTATTCAATCATTTGGAGCCTTTGAGCTCGGCCTAGGAATTGCATTCCAGGAATTTGTTGGTGTTTAACAAGACTAGTTTTACTAACCTGTGCCACACCAGAAGTGTGGGGTGAGATAGAGAAAAAACCCTGAGAACTTCTAATGCCAACCCCTCTATGCAAAGCAACTTGCAAGTCAGTGCTCTACTTTCAGTTTTAAGTGATACCATTCACCATCCTCAGGGGTCTTACAAGCCTTGCTAAAAGAAGAAATGGATCTTTCATTTAAGCTACATTAAACAGAGATGCCTCATGCAATGTATTGAGACCTTCAGCGGCAGATCTGGAAAACACGTTTTCCTCCGCTGCTCTTTGCTGTTGGATGGCCTAAACATCTTAAACCCATGAGCCAAGTTCACCCCCACAAAGTCCATCTGTGACAGCACTGATGAGCTTGGCCTCGCTGACGCTTCTTGAAACAGCCTCCAGGCCCAGAATAGCCCTGCACACACCATAGCATCATTTCCTGAGCATGAATCGCAGGGACGAGGCAGGCAGGGAGATCTGTGGCAGCTCCTGACTGAACATCAGGTTTGAGGATGGTCCAGTTGTCTATAAATACAGCTAAACAAGGTACTCCTCTCCCACTCTGGATACTTGTTTTCCCTTCTCCTATCTCAGCTGAATTTTCCTACCAGCTTCCTGAAAACACTTCCCGATTTCACACCATAAACATCCTCCACTTTTATTTGACCAACACTTCCTACACTGCGAGGCCTTCCGCCCAGCTCTTCCAGAGCTGCTCCCATGTTTCCCCTATCTTTGATATCCCAACAATAAATGAAAAACAACCTTTCCTGTGCTTGGTACTGGCATGCTTTTGGCATTTATTTATTCCTCCCCCCTTCAGCTGAGTGGTGAGGTTATTTCATGCCTGGGTTAGCCAACAGCCTGCTTTGCAAGAGGCAGCAACGGTGGTGGAAGGACTTATTGCTCCCAAATCAAGGATGGGAGGAGCATCACGCCCGAAAGGAGCTGACGTGGTGCTGGAGGTTGCTCCTGTGCTGCAAGGACCCTTTCAGACACACATCAGTGAAGGCACACTGGGAATGGGACTGTCCACTACTGGAAGGCGGAAGGTCACAGGCAGCCCGGTCTCCACGAGGAGCGCTCCCTCCAAGCCACACACCACTTTCCTCGGATCACCTCCTCCTCCTCCACTGGGGAATTCCCAGAGCTCAAGCCAAGGCCAGCTGAAGGCAAGGGATGTTTGTGTTGACCTCGGCAGCCTTGGACAAGGCTTCCTAGAAGAAGAGCTTCCTGGAAAGCTGACGGACAGAGAGATACTTCCTCGGGAGCCATGCTGCTGTCAGCCAGGTAAGGTGCCACCTTTGTGCTGTCTCTTCCTCCTATGGAGAGCTTTAGCCACTGGTGGGGACTGACCATGACTTATTTTATAGCTCTTCTTCAATTTGTTCAACACATGAACTCCCCAGAGCTCCAACCATGTACAGCTCTCATTGGAGCCATGAGCGTGCCCAGCCCTAGCAAACGAGAGGCATGTCCTCCACCACAGGCAGCTCATGAACACCCAGGACCCATTTTGTTTGGCTGATGAGCACCAAATGAAGCTGGAACAACCATGTTCATCGAGGCTGGAAGTCAGCCTAATGCCAGGGCTATGGTGGTACATAAAGGTGTGGTAGGTGACTCAGCATTTGGATGCCTGAGCTTTAGTAGTATCGTAGTAGGATCTGCAGCATCCAGAAAGGGGCTGATTTTTGGAACTAGCATCACATCAGAAGGGTGATGCACTCCAAACAATGCAGCTCTGATTTAAGGAGAGGCCGTGTAACCTCAGCTTCTGCAAAAGTCTTTACAGAGGCATTTGGCTGGTGCGGTTCAGCAGCAGCTTTGGGAAGATCTTCTGACACATGAGAAAGCAAAAGAATGCGCCAGGAAAACTCGGCTGAGGAGCAGCAATGCGTATTTATGGACACCCTGTAAATGGGTGCTCTTAATTCACCATGATTGTGTTGGAGCCACTGGTGGACAAATGCCCTGCTTGTGATGTAAAAATGAGAAAGCGAGGATCAGTTGGAGAACTGTCATATTTTGTTTCAGCCAGGCTTTTTTAGTATTGGATGCAGCCAGGGATATACTACCCTCCCTCAGAGTGGCCAAAGATAACATGCAAAGCTTTGCTAGAAAGGATGACTACAGAAGATGAGGGAGTGATGGGGAGGATGCTGCAGACATGCACAAAATACCTGTCCCATTATACGCATCACGCAGAGGCTCCCCCCTCAAGCAGCTGTATTTTTTCCACCCTGCAATTCATAAGGGATTCTCATCATTAGATAGCATTTGACTGTATCTAGGGCTATTTCTTTTTTAACAAATGGGGTAAGAAGCTGAGAGCATCCTTTGTTTGTTAGCCGCTTCTGATTTGAAAGCAGGGAGGCAGCAGCTTCTCTGAGTGTCCACATAACATAGGAAAGGTAGCAAAGGAAACCCGACAGCTTTCATTAGAGCAGCTCTGGATATATTATTACAGATAAAGCACATTGTTGGGAGGAGATTAAAGCTGTGAGAGCCCTGGGATGCAGAAAAAATCCTGTCCATTTCATTTGTGTTTTACCCTGTTGCTTTTCCTTAAAGGGAAAGGACAAAGAAACCATCTCACAGTGTTCCTTTTGGGCAGGATTTCAATCCACCTTCCATCACTGTAAAAACTGATGAACAGAACAAGAAATAGCAAAGTGGTGGTTTCATAATTCTAATTTCTGCAGCATTAGAACATGATAAAGCAAATCAGAGTTGTCCTTGTTTAGTACTTACAAGACAACACTTATGGAGACTTTGTTGTGATGCTGTAAGAGTCAGGACACCTGCGTGCACAGTGTCCATCCTGTAATTTAAGTGTACACTGCTTAAGGCTGCCAAACATGCAAAGACCATAGCTCAGAAGAGACAGCTGGGTGCAGATGACTCCTCCTGTTTAATCCTCGCATTTGGAGCTGAGGGAAGCTGAGCTGAAGCAACACTGACTCCATCCTACCCAGGGGCACCATGCTCTCAGCAGCAGGGCAAACCAGACAACGCATAGCATTTGTTTGGTCTGACATGGTGCTGTAATTTAATTGCCAACTGCCCAGCCACTGTAAGACAAGTAGGATTTATTAGGATCTATATACTGTAATACTTTGTCTATTGGTAATATTGTGTTAGGAATAGGTTTGTGTGCAAGTATAGATATTGCCTATATATATTTTATATGTATATTTAAACTACACAGAGATATGCAAAAACAATGCAGTAAAGAACTGAAGGCAAACATTACACAGCTACAAGCCTCAGGCTCAGAAGCACGACAAGAGCACACAGCAAAGGCAGGTCCTGTCTCAACAGTGCCTGCAAGCAAGCCCAGGCCAGCCCAGCTGGATGGGGAGTTCAAGGCCAACAGGAGCACACAGCACACACTGGATGAACTTTGCCCAGGTCACAGCAGCTCCATCAATGGTTTTATGCCTGTATCACATGAGCAAAGAGCTTTAAGGAAGGACTTACGGCCATGTCCACACTGAGCAAGCTCTGGGGGCAGGCGGCTGCCCAAAGGAGGTTGGCAAGCAACGTGGCCACGCATGACAGTGGTGATCCACACCCTTGAGAGCAGAGGCTGCTCTCGGCTTCCCAGCACCACGCCAGAGATGACAACAATGCAAAGCTCAGCCTCTGAGAGCCCTACAAGCCAAAACATCTCTAAACTCCTTTTTCCTCCAATCAGTTTTCACTCGTGGCAAGAATCACTGGAGAGTTCAGTTATTTGTTCCAACACACATAAAGCAGCCGTCCGGCCCGATGACTGTGCAATATCAAACAAGAACAAAACAAAGGACAAACTTAAAGCTGGAGTCCCCCAGGAACGAGCCAAAGGAGTCCTTGGGAACAACATGCTGCCATGCACAGCACACCAGGAGAGTTCTGCCGATTCAGAAACAATGAGCCCCTCCATGGCGAAATACTGAGGACAGGACTCCACCTCTCCAGCATTGGAGACGCATTCAGTACACACCATAGCTCAAGTGCTGGGTGAAAAAAGAAAAAGCTATTATCACTCCAAAACAGGCAAACAAGACTCTCTTGAGAAAACAGATCTGGGGAGAGTCAACAGGGCACGGGTAAAAATATAACAACAAACAAAACCCAAATTCTCTGTTTTCCAGCTTGTCCTTTTGGGCCAAAGCTTTCCAGGTGCTGAATGAACCAACTAAATTCATACCTTGGAAAGCCTCAGGGCCTGGGTTTTCTTTTCAACAGAGAGAGTCAGATTCATCTTCAGCCAATGCTGCCCATCAGGGACGTTATGGGGTGATGGATGTCCCTACCCCATTGGTCTTGGGCCCCCACCCCAGCTCTGCAGAATAAGGAGAGAGGATGGACCACACTGTAATCAGAAATCTGTTAAGCAAAAGGAACAGCAACATCAAGAGGCTCAGGCCGACAGCAAAGACACCCTTGTCCTCTGCACACCATCACCACTGATGTTCTCCAGATCATTCACTGCCATCTTCATCTCTCAGTGAGCTACCAGCTCACACACCAACCTCCAAAAACATGAAGACCTGGAAGACCATTAACCCCAATGGGGGTGAACATCTTCTGGCATCATTAGGCACAGCGGGTTTTGGTCCTCAGTGCAGACAGTCATCCCTGCCTGATACGCCACTGCTCCCATGTCCTCCCAACACAACCAAGACCACCAGATTGAGCATATTTGTCCCAGGCCAACTTATTAGCTCCCAACAGCTTGCTGTCTTATTAAAGACCCTTTTTGTCATCCAGGCCCTAACCACCTCTTGGGAGCACTTGTTAAAGGCTTGAATACCTGAAGGTTTCTTTGGGGGAAGAAGAAATCACGCTTCTCACAGGAGCTCGGCCAAGAAGGCTGATAATCATCTCGTGATCACAAATCACTTTTCATAAGGACCATTTATGAGGTAACAGTTGGCATGCGGAAAGCATTGCATTTCACCAGCAGCTCACTGCAAACGAAACACGGTGAACCCTAAAAAGAAACTGTGACTCAAAGGCTGCATTCTTCTCTCCCACAGTGACCCCTTTGTTTGGTTCTACCCGAAAGTTTCATTACGAAAGTCTGATACAGGAGCCTTATTAAATTGTGATTAAATGACGTGTCCACGGCGAAGCCTGCTCATTCCGCTGTTGATGTGGGCTGGTTTTCTTAGACTTTTAAAACACACAGGCTTATGAAATAGCTGTAATATCTTTCCCTGTGATTGCGAGGGAATGGAGGGTCTTTGCTCCCACTCTGGTTGTACCTGGCCTCGCTCCAGAGGATAACATTTTCATTAAAAGTGTATTAGGTGCACAGTTCACCACGCAGCCATCCTGACGAAGCGCCTGATCCAAAGCCCATTGACCTGGCTCAGAAGCCTTAATGGGCTTTGGTGAACTTTGCTGGCCGCTATAAAAACAGAATCACCCATCACTAGAGTGACTTTGAGCTGTTTTACCATCAGTTGGATCCATTGCTTTCCCCCTAACTCCTTCTACACTTTGGGATCTAAAAACCAGTAGAATAAGCAGCATCATGGCTCAGGCCAGATTGCTGATTAATATATTAGTGCAGCAGGGTTGACTTTTGGACACCTAAGAAAGGGTTAAACAGTAGAAAGTCAAAGCCAGTGACCTCCCCACCATTCCTGACCAAGTATTAGTTCTGAGCCTCGAGTAAAAGCTCACAGGAGTGATGCATCTTTCCCTTCAGATGACTCACTTTAAATGGTGCCCAGTGATTTACGCACAGAAAAATGTATTCATAAATACAGAAATGCACAAATTCATACATCTTAAGGGCAGGGGAACAGTCACAAATGTTCACTCTGACCCTCTGGAGACTGCAGCCTCACCCAGCAACTTCTGCTTGAAACGCATGGCTTCTGTTTGAGTGAAAGCATCCAAATATTACAGCGAAATGCTTTAAAGTACTTTCCTCTAATAGCTGTCAGAAGGGATGCTGTAAAAACAGAATCCCCCTCTTCCTGCTGCTTCAGAAAATCCAAGTCAGGGTAGGGATGCTTAGAGGATATTATTATTATTATTATTATTATTATTATTATTATTATCGTTATTATTATTAATAACAATAATCAGTATCCCTTAGTGAGATGCTGTTTCCATATTCAGTGCTGTGCAGCACAGGGCTTTGGGGCAACACTGGAGGCTCCCAGTCTATCGCACCCCTTCAGCACTGCCACAGGCAGCCCCACCAGCCTGTCTCACCCAGTCATACCCATCTATCCCACAGGCCCTTGCAAACAACAGGATACTGGAGTAAGTTCACCGGTTAGCAA